GTTACTATATTTCATTACACTTTTCCCCACCAGATAGAGCACACTTCAGTTGGTGGGATTGCAAGTTTTGAGAAACTGGCCTTTTTGAGAAAAGCCAAAATAGGGGTAACCATAACCGACGACGCTTTATCGTTAGAAGAGATTACGAGCTCATAACTTACAGTTTTTGCGTTACATATAAGCAGTACTGCAATAACATTGCAATTTTACGGTTTGCGTGACCCCTTAGCTGTAGATTCGCGAATGTATTTATTGACATCCGATACTTTGACCATGTAAGCCGGTATGAAATACACGGCAATTAATCAATACCCCCTCTTTGCAAAAATAAAATGTGCTCACGTAGATTTTGAAGATTTTAGGCTTATTATTTCCCAGCGATCAAAAAATATGAAAACGACACAAGCGAACCGCGCGTCATTGTAAAGCCGGATTTCAGAAACGCCTTCAATACGCGTCGGGACGTTTTATTGTAGCGGTTTTATTGACTTCTATGCGTGACAAACTCCCTACGTACCCTCCGCTACTTTTGGAAGTCTTACCGTCATGCATCACACCTGTCATGCATCATACCTGTCATGCGGCACGTTACTGTTGTCTTTAAAAACTGGCGTGCAAGAAGGCGATCCCGCTGGTCCGTTCGGTTATGCTTTGCAACACAACCACTTTTTGTTGAAAACTTTTTGTTGAGAACTTCTTGAGTCACAGCAATTGGCTGCCTCGATGACGTTACCCTAGCTGGTCTCACGGAAAAAATTATATAATCATTGCGCGCGGTTTAAGAATGGGACTCGAGCTCAATTTCAACAAATGCAAAGTTTGAGCATGGGATAATTTTCTGCGGATCGGTTACAGGCTGTTCAGACTTCAGAAGGTGCTCAATGCATTCCCAGAAATGGCCGTTTCCGAAGGTCAAGAAAACACACTTCTTGGAGCTCCTTTAACGGCAGCACCGTGCGTGACCTTCCTACGCGTTCCTTCCTAAATTCGTGCAGCTGGAGTACTTCATATCGCGACCCAAACTCATACCAGCATAATACAGGTTGTACCTTTTGTGAAACTGTTTACTGATACCGAAACTACCCTACGGATTCCGCACAAGCAGATGCTAGAGCACGTGGCGTTGACAGCATCCATGGGCGAAGTATGTCCGTGCCGGTTTGCAGTCCATCCTTAACGTCCGCTGGGACGATGCCCAGTGGACCCAGATGTCGCTCCCTATTAGGGATGGGGGAATGGGACTACGGAGTACAACATCGCTAGTTTTTTTTGCCTTTCTGGCATCGACGTATTCGGTAACTTCGGCCGGATTCACGCTGCGATAGTCAGCCGTGTCTGCGTGAACACATGCCGCCTATCTATGTACCTAAACGAAACGCGAAATTAAAACAGCAAAATGGGAGAATGATAATGGTAAGCACTGTTCAGGCCGCGTATTGCTATCTACCAATTATACCGATTTCGTTCTCTTTCGACTATTCTCGCAGAATCTCGCTGGCACAAAGCGTGCGCTTGTGCTGCATCATAGTCATTTGAGCTATACACAGCTTCGTGCCTGAATAAAAACTTCCAAAAATCTGCTTCAGTTGTTATTGCTTCCGCAAAATAACGACTTTTAACTGGCAAATTTTACACTTTAAAATAACTTAATCGAGTTCAAACTTGCACAAATATGTAGTGAAAATATCATTGTACTACGTCAAATGCGTACTTAAAGTCAGAAGTTTTCTGAAGCCGCTGCGAATTGTTATTGATTTTAGAAGTTATTTTTCAAAAATTGTTCAGAATGGGACGAAGAACCTTCTTTTGTACTGCGCTTTCCTGTGGTCTTACCGATTCTGCGCTGCAGGACACTAGATTGTGCGCACATCGAAGAGTGGACTTTGCCCACTCTTATCAGACTAAAAAAAATCATTTTCAAAAAGAATTGTGAAGCGTTTTTATGAAAAATGTTTGCGCATCTTGTTTAAAATAAATAAAAGTAACTTCCGGTGTCGAAAAGTTTGTTTTTTTTGGATAGGGTGAGTTTTGTCCAAAAACGCTCCATAGAACTTTGCATCTGCGCTCACGGGACATCGCTATGTCTTTCCATTGTCTAGCGCCTTTGTCGTGCTCTATGTGTCCTCACTGTGCAAACATGAGCCGTCTTCTATCACACTTGCAAGCTGGCATGGTATATAACAACCACAAGGCATTTTCCAAAATGAAAGAATGCCTGCTTGAAGCAATCTTTCTTTCACTGATTTTGACCACAGGTGGCAGTAGTGTAGAAAGATACGCAAGCCCGCCAAATCGATCTTCGTCGGCAACGAAAAAAACTTGAATATCTTTTTGGTCGATGCTGCGTGCAGGGGAAAACACGGGTCTTGGCTGCGTGCACGGGTATCTGCACGGGTCTTGGATGCATGCACGGAGTTTGGACACGGGTGTTGGTTGTGAGCACGGTATTTCAAATTTCAGCGTTTTCACGTTTACATGTCGGCAGTTCTCGAATTTCGATGGTAACAGGTTTTCATAAGTAGTTTCCCACGTTGCATTCAATCACAACAGGTTTTCCTACCGGTTTTCTGACATGTTTTTTCATGTGTCGCAATCTGGGAGTAGTTACTGACATTTTTGTCTCTTTAAATAGCTTATATTCGTTTTAAAAAAGCAAAAATTTTTTGAAAGAACTGAACTGTTCTTCTTCTTCCATAACGAATATTTCCGAAATTCCCATCTTCACTGTGACTTTCAAGTACTTCATTTTACTGCACTGACAACCATTAGCAATTAACATAATATTTACTGTGTACAACAAAATTCGCGGCACTACTTAACTGTACTTTGTTGAAAAAATTTTTCAACAAAGTACAGTTAAGTATGGTTTAACTGCTTCAGTGGGTCAAGTTCCGCAGTAATTATGTAAAAACTTGCGAAATAAAAGAATATCAAAAGTCAATTTATTAATAAAAAAGTTTTAAATAAGTAAATTTAAAATTAAATAAATGACGGGTTCCCGCAGCCAACACCCGTTCCTAAAGTTCGTGCACGCAGCCAACACCTGTGCGGACCTAAAAAGGTCACCCGTGCATGCAGCCAACACCCGTATTTAACCGTGCACGCAGCCATAATGTAACTTTTTTCGTTGCTACCTAATTTTACTCAACTTCCGCCCAGTATTAAACTGATGTCACCGTTCTTACTACAATGTAGAATTTTGAAATTTCATTTTCGATCTTGCTACTTTCGTATAAATTCTCCTTAATAACCCTTCGCAATTTTCTTTGCCGGCGTCGAAGAAACGATTTACTTTAAGGGAAATCGCCTGGTACAGAGGGTTATTCAGCCAAGTGTGGACACTTTTTGGGAAATTTCTCCTTAGCCGTCGCACGCTCATTTTACTTTTTTAAAAATTTTATCAGGTAGCCACAACATCCAGTCATACTTTAAATTCAATCGAGTCACGATTTTCTCATCCTGAAGCTCAGGAAAAAATTAAGTTTGTCCCCCCCATGTTGGCAACAGTTGACCAGTTCAGCTACAGGAAATGGATTCCCTTTATTCAAAATTCATCTAAAATTTGGATTTTCGCCATAACCCGTTGAAAACCTGTCGGGGGTTTCGAACAATCCTTTTTCTGAAGGAATTACTAGTATTAGAGGATTGGGAAGCTGCATCCTTGTTTACTCAGCAGTGCTCCCGGGAGCACGTCTCGGGTTCTGGATGACTTCTTCTTCCCTGCCAGGCTTGATCCGTGGAGCGTCTTTCTCGACCAATAAACATTGTAAACGGTAGAGAAAGACTTGTTTTACAACTTTAGTTTATGGAGGGACGGAAAGGATAGCTATAGCTGCGTGCATAAGAGTTCGCGCAATGGGCATGGCTCCTGCGGGTCTCTTCCTGTTTTCGCGTTTTTTCCAACCGTCCTACCGCAAGAACGCGCAAGAATATGAAATCGTTCTTGCTATAAAAAATATTCGGATCGTCGTTTTTCGCAATTAAAACCATGCAGATTGGAAATATTGACGATCCTTTTAAGGCCAGGTGACCGAAAGCCAAATTTTGACTGGTCAAGGGTTAGTAGTCGGCGACTTTTGGTTAACAGACAATATCGCGAGCATTTTTCGCTGGATTTTCACCAAAATTTGCAAAAAGCATTCAGATTAGTTAGTCGTCATATTGAGATGCTTATGGCATCATTTCTCTTAAAATGAAATTTCTAAGGAATTTTTTTTCGAAGTGTCCACACTTGGCTGAATAACCCTCTGTACATGGTGTCAAAAATGGGATACATACGCTAAAACTTTCGCTTTCGCACACTCCGAATCACTTTTTTGTAATACATTATGTTATTCTAAAGCTAATTGATTTGTATACATTGTTGTGAAACATCCGGTTGCCGAGATATGGCGTACTAAACTTAGTGAAAAGTTTATATGCATTGTCGTGTACCAAAAGTTTGGTAAATAATTTTTAGAATTCATTTCAAAATTATGGGAAAATGCTATGGATCTGAAATTGGTTCACTTTCGACTTTATGGCCATGTGCCTTTTGCAGCAAAATTTCAAAAGATCGGGTAATAATTAATTTTTTTGACTTTATGGCCTGTGCCTTTTGCAGCAGAGTTTCAAAAAGATCGGGTAATAACCAGACTTTTGGTACACGACAATGCATTCAAACTTTTCACTAAGTTTAGTACGCCATATCTCGGCAACCGGATGTTGCGCGCGCAAAAGGGTTTTCAGAACAATGTATACAAATTAATTAGCTTTAGAATGACATAAAGTATTACAAAAAAGTTATTCGGGGTGCGCGAAAGCGAAAGTTTTAGTGTATGTATCCCATTTTTGACGCTATGTACCGGGCCATTTTCCTTAAGTATGTATATGAGGCTGTTCGAAAGTGTGTAAACCGCTTATCTACAGAGTAGATCATTTTTCAAGTAGCCAACACTTTGAACGAAGCAGTTTGCCAGCTAGTACTACAAGTATTTTCTACGGAGCTCATCCTTATGATGCATATACATGTATTTAATCTCTTTCTCTCTCTTATCAGCTCAGTTCACAGCGTGTATCAAACAAGACCCGTGCACGGAGGTACAACAGAAAACAAACGCACATCAAAAGGCCCAACGGCAAACAGTTGCCAGAAGATCGCATGACATGAAGGAAATCCACAAGGTGTTCTCTCCGCGGGACATTTACACAACGCAAACAAAATCATGTGGGAAAGCGACAGTGAATGAAAGGTCGCATTCCATGGTTGTCTCATTAAAATGCGGAGACGCACGCACTATGCGCCGCCGTCGCGATCACGGGTTGCGCAACAAACAAGTAGGGTAAGGTTCGTTTTCAACAAAAAGAGAAAACGCCGATTGATATTCAGTGTTATTAGAAAGAGAGTTAAAAGAATATCAATGGTATTTTTTCGTCTCACAGAGGAACAAACAGTGCCGGCGGGTGCCTTTTGGATATAGTTAATTACAAAAGCCAACGCGTGAGATTAAGCATCTATTGGCTGCCAAAACTATATACACTCCTGCCGTGCTACGTACGCTGTGCGCGCGTACACATCGCGTTGTTGTTGGCCCGTTGGGGTTGTATTGTGTGAGCGTAATTTTTTTGTGAATCCATAATGAGATTGGCTGATATGATCGACAACGGGGCCGCGCGCACAACATTTGACTCATCGCGGTCCACACGGCAGATTCCACGCTCTCTACGCAAGCACTGATTGATGCAAGTTTGTTGTAACAATGGCGCGGGCAAAATGAGCGATGATCGCTGCTCCAGAATAGATATGTACAAAAAGTATAGGAAACATGAGAAATTCCGTTCTGTGGTTTTCTCAGCTGTACACCGTCGTATAATCAGCAAAGGTCACGCTCTTCTTCGGTTCAAAATAACTTTGAGAGCTGGAGCGTTTTTTCAGTGCGGATTTCAAATTCATGGAGTAGGTCCGCTGAAAGGGTTGGCTGCTATTCTGTAGTGTGTGGGCGCGTGACATACTCGAATTGCGACGGCGCAATAAGGTGGACAGACGAGGTTTCTCCTTCTCCACCGGGGTGGGTGGAAGGGCGGCATGGGGAGGAACTGCTGCGGGGGGAAGAGGTGGGGTATAGATTTGGTACAGTCCGTCACGTTCCATCGAATGAGGATTCGATATTGGTGCTGTAAAACAAACAGTAAGATTATAATTAAAGACAATCGCAAAACAAAGCGCAAATCACAAAAAAGAAGACAGAAATTACTAAAACGTGAATTACTAGTATTTATTTAATGCTGTATCGAGTAGACCTTTAAATTTTCAGGTCGTATCTGCACAGTGCATTCAACAAATTCATTTAAATTTACATTGTAATACCAAAATAAACTGTCCATTGGTTACTCGGGACAAATTTAAGATGTCACGATCAGCATGCTTAAGCCGAATGAACTATGAAGTCAAACTGAAACTTAATTCCAGTACTGTACTAATAATATATAAGCTTGTTTGAGCTTATACATAGCAATGCCAAGACAAGCTGCATATATGTCAAAGGAAAATAAAAAATGTTTCCGAATTTAAAAAATAACCGGTGGATTACATTCGTGCGACCACTTTCTGCGTTTGTGGCATCGTAATCAGCGAGGCACGTATAATCATATTATGTGTTCCACATGCTAACCGTAATTTCGTAACGGACTATTCTCTTTTGTACGAATTCTATTTTGACCACAGTTACAACACCACACACTGCATATTTATCACAACAAACAGAAACACGTTATGACTTTCAAATTATACGTTTTCCAGCTTCCGGTTAACATTTCTGGGAAAGATTCCGTACAGTCATAATCTAATTTCTGTTTATCTATCACACAGAAAATTTCCATATTTATGGTAATCAGGTAGCAGTATGAGTGACCATCATTTGTTTGACGATTTGCTGTTCACGCATACGTACGCACATTGTGCATTTGCATCGCAGCCGCCGCTGAGCGTTGAACTTTTAAGCTACAGCAGGAACGCTAGAGAGCTATACACAGTGCGACCCTTGAATGATTACATCAATATTGTTCCACAAATAAAAAATACCAACGTTAATAATTTATGTTTGTATCTGGGTTAATGTCATAGAATCTTTTTGTAAATAGCATGGAATGTAAAGTCGTCTTGTGCGTTCATTACGTAACTGTATCACTAAGAATGGTAAGAATATAACGTACAATAAGTACTGAACAAGCTCATGATCAAACACTCAACACATTGTGAAACATGTACAAATCAGTAAAAGACAGACAATATGATTAATTTTAATTTTTACCCTTCAAATTTACGAAAAGTTTTTGATATATTTTTAGTTTTATTGGCATTTCCTTCAGACGTACTGCAACTTATAGTACATACTGGATAATGCGAAGTATTATCCGTTTCGCTGCATTGATCTTATGTGTACAATACTATGCATTCAGGCAATAATGTCGAATGTCTTTTGTAGAATTTTGCGATTGGATTAGCGAGATTATACAAATCAAAGGAAAATACTTTTTTACCAATCATCTGTCAACTTTTAATTGCCTATTGTAATGTTCTAACCAACTGTTGATATACGAGCGGATATGTAGAACATGATCCTAATTGTTAAAGTATTATAGCGGATAATGACTTTGTTTGTTAACAGTCGTGACAGTGTCACTAGCAGCGCCATGTTGGAAATATCAAGACTTGTAATTAGCTAATTACCGGAAATCGTGCGCGAGTGCTGGTGAATTGCAACCACAAGAAGTTTTGTTACGCAATTCCGTAATAGATTATACCAGAACGCACACCAAACGCGTGAAGGAAATGCCTCCTGACTTACTCCTTAGAAAACCAATTTAACTTCAAGTTCTGCCAATCTAATAAGCTAACAGCCTTACAAACAATTATGACAAAAATGACGTCGCTAATTACTCGAAAAACAACTTTGATATAAGTTCGTTATAAAACTTTCATACATATCTTAAACGAAAAATTTGTTAAATTTCATTATTCAGAAAAGGAAGCCGAGGACACGCCCGTACAGTAATATACAGCGGCGCATGTGTAACAACAGCTTACCGGAAACGATTGCATTTTTGGCGGTTAACACCGGCGGTCTGCCGTGCCCACTGCCCAGTGACTGCACATTCACCCCGCCCGTCCCACTAATAATCCTCTCCGGCACGACAACCACGCCACTCCCACTGCCGCTATAATCCGGCTCGGATGTTTTTAAGGTGGGAAGTATGGTAACATTGATCACAGGCTGGACACCATGGGCCGGTTTAATGGAGAACTCTGGACCCACGGTAATCCAGCCGTTCTTATCGTTTTCCTTGAAGCTGTTGGATCGTGCGCGGATCTTGTACATGGGCGGCGAATTGGATGACGCCCGTGCCTCGCGCACATGATGGTCAGCTGAGGTGGGAATGTTGACACGTACCATGCCAGCGGTGTTGACGACGTTGTTGTTGTTGTTGACGACGGCGCTGGCGGCCGGCGACAGGCCAGCGCGCGACCGATGACCAGGTAAGCCGGCACGGAAACTGTGTCGCAAGCTGTCCGCGCCGCCGCTGACGTTGTTGACGTTGGCATTCAGGTTGGTTGACGATGACGTTATCCCGTTGGCATCCGGATAATATGCGGATTTCAGGTAGCGTTCAAATAAATCAGTGGGTGAACGGCGGGATTTGTCGGGTTTGAATTCCGGATTGAGACTAGACGTCCGAGTGGGTACCGCGGGCAGCATTTTGCCGGTCGCGGGAGTTGGGAGATCGAGGCGTTGTACGGCACCGGAACTGTCTCGGTACAGATGCATTCACTAATCCGTAACACTAACCCTAAAATTAGTCCATACACCACACAAAACAAAAAAAATCAACCAGTAGTTCCAAAGACAAGATAAAATGTAATATCTGCCCACACGTTGCGGTAACCTGGATGCTATGAAATCTCAAGTAGCTTAACGAAAATAATAAATTACGACATGATTGAGGGACAGTTTGCAGTTTTTAAACACACTCCGCACACACGCCACTCGAAAAAATAAGATCATAAAAAATTTTGTTGTTTGCTTGCGCGAAGACTACTGAGTACGAAGAATTGTATGATTCGCTTGGCGTTTTTCGGCGCAACGGCAGCAGTGTGTATGTACGGTATCTGTGTGTGCTTTGCTGTTTAGCTGTTGTTGTAATACCCTTGACGCATCGTATGCGTAGCCGGGCCGCGCGCTCCTTGATTGGCTGATCGGGCGCATTACGCATGTTGATTTTGGCATTTTGTTTTCTTGTAACACCGCCGTGCGCTTCTCTTTTCTCCAATTCGAGCGCTGGTGTCTTATCGTTTAGTATTGCCTGGCGCATTTTCTTTGAAGAGAGAGAGAGAAAACGTAGTAATCGCTTTAATCGACTGCGAGTGTTTTATGTACACAAACCCAAAAACCGGCTTCCGGGCAAATTGTCAGCGCTGCAACTTAACCGACTGTGCAATGCTATGCAGTGTGTGTAGAAAGTGTGCCGTTTTGATAGTTTTTTGTTACACATAGCAAATACAGATTATACAATTTTATAGTCAAATGTCTGCCGTGTGCTCGTGCAGCTGCGGATAATTCATTAAAAATAAAACCGCAATTCTGTCTCCAAGGTGCCCGGCATGTGCAGTGGATCGGATCGGCGGCACTGGAAGAAAGCCGCTTTTGTGTGGGGGACGCATTAACTATGGTCAAACAGATTAACCAAGCCACTTAAGCACGCAAATGTTTTATTTAACCTTCATTTGCTTACCAGGTTAAATCACAGACAAACAGCTTTCGAGAGTGCTGTTGATGATTTCCGGCAGTGTTGTTGCGCTCTCTTTTAAAGGCAACAGATGTGGAAAATCGTACAGTAAGGACTTACTGATAAATACTAAGAATTCGTGGTCTTTATAATTATATTTGCCAATTTACCTTTGTTTTCTTTACCTTGTTCAAGAAAAACGTTTTATTTAACACGATGTTTTTCCCATAATTTTCCAGGATATGACGAATTTCCCATCACCACCACGCCCTGTTGAGTTTCGATTTTCGACTTTTCCCTCTTAGTAAATGATATGCGCTAATCCATTACCGGCCTGTAATTTTGTCTGTGACAAATCCGTCAAAAATGCGAAAATTAACGACATGAACAGATGTTATTATTGTTCAACAAAACGGTCTTAATGTCAAAAAAGTTTGCTAATAGCTGCTGGGCATCATTACTTTGCATGCGGAGAGAGCGGCTTTATTTTAATTGTCAAAATTCGGAGCACCACATTATTTGTACCGTGTACAGCATGATATTGTTGCAATTGTACGATCACGTGAATTTGTAGCATGAAAAAAGCTCTGGTTTAAACCGCTGACAAAGATGCCTGAGCGGCAAAATTATGTAGTCATCGAAATTCCGAAGATGATTATGATGTCACAAATCTTTGCCGAAAGATTACACACAAACTGTGAGAACCAAAGAAGCAAATATCACATTAAATATCACATATACAGTAGACGAGCATTTGAATTGCTATTACCAATATTTGACTAGATAAAATGAATATTAAACAACATTGTCGAATTATTTAAAAATTATCGGAAGCAATTTTTATGAGGCTGGCAAAGGGTACACCAGTATGCGGCGTTGCACAGCTAGGTATCTAAATCTAATGGCTAAACTAATGAGACAAATTATTTAGTAAGACTGAAGGTTAAAAGGAGCCTGAGAACAAAACAGTAATTTTGCTAGAACCTTTAATTACGCGCGTCCACATTTTTGGCGGTAATATTACCAATGCTACAGACAATTCGCTCACACAAATATCAAATAAATTATGTAACTTGGTATGGTATCCGAAGGTAATTACATCGTAGCCTAAATAGTCATCACATTCAGCAGCGATGCTTGAATTTCCCTCGAAGGATTGATCGGAAAATAATTGCAGCAATATAGCACGATTTGCATCAATAATGGGAATTCTTTCTGTCGATAAATTTTTGTTTATATGTAAGCGATATTGCACAGCTACTATTAAGGGTAATAAATTACTTTTTGATTAATTGCAGGTAGAATGAAAAGTGATATCCATGATGTACGACCGGATTTTATGCGTGCTTTGTGCATTGTGCTGTGTGTACCGCTTCTATGTACTGATCGAGTTTTTCCGTTCGTTTCCTTGAAGCTAAACATATTCATAACTGGTTAATCCGCAGTGCATAATAGATTAAACCTGCTGATGTGGTAACATTGGAATTCGTTATAGGATTCAAAAATCGTTTTTAAAAGTTGCTGACATTGCATCTCCACTGTAAAAATTTCCGTTTTAACTTTTGCAATGACATGAGTGCAAACTAAAGGCGATGCAGTTCTCAAAAGAGACCGCAATTATTCCATCAGAATACAGAAAACTGTTTTTATGTATATAATACCTCACTATCAAACTTTGATAAATAGATCTTTATATAATAGATCTTTATATGTATAAATAGATCTTTATATATGTGCTATGATAATTTATCCAGATTAATCTATCTACAGTATATATATCTGTACCTATATGAATGTTTCTCTCAGTCGCAGCCACTGGGAATTGATTGATAAATAATAATACTTAACACAACCGTCAGTTTGTGAAATATAATCATTAGCGTTGTTTTTGAGCAGGACTACTGGTAATCAAAGACTGAGAAGCCTTACTTTGAAAGCGTCAGTAACATTATTTGTAAAAGTACGAGTACTAGTCCAACACAGTACTCTGTACAACATAAAACTGACGGTTCAGCTTCTAAATCAAATCTTTACAAATTAAATTTTGCTGATTCGGGAAGTTTCCCTTCAATTCTTCGGAACGGAATAATGCACTATTATCAATTTTGACAATTTTTCATGAAGGTTTTCCAGGATTATTTATAGAAGTTAGTCTGCTTGAAGTTTGTTAAAATAAATTAAATTACAGCAGCCAAAAGTGATATCAGCATAATTTTATGCGCACGCATTTTTGCATATTTCATTCAATATTTCCTGGTACAGTGTATTACATTCGTGTTTTTGTAGGTAATATTTTTATAATTCACGTTTACAAATTTTAGGGGGGGTTACGTATATATGTGTGCTCTTCAAGTTTCCCTGGGTGGTTTTTAGCGAAAATTTTGATCGAAATCGTGCACAAAAATTAACAACATACTCGTACAAAACATTCTGTTTCAAAGAGACTGGAAGGGTGGAAAGAAGGTATGGAGCAAATTTTTCATAGAGCTTTTCACATATACTGTACAAGTGTGGAACTTATGTAGCAAAGTTTTCGTCGGTTGTGTTTACTGCTACTTCAATGTTAAGACTCCGCTACAATTAAATTATAAATTTCTGTAGCACAGAGTTCCAAAATTTATTGTTTCCGGCACAAAAAAATTAATTTTCGGTGCCAAAATGCAAATCGATTCAGCCTACACGGGAAGCACTGGTCGCATACCCCCATAATGTTGGCATACATATATAGTACGACTACGGATCGTAGTACAATACCAATGCCGTCACCACACTGACTTCAAAAAAGGCACCCGGCTGCACATCTTACTTGTAAAGAAAGTGCCTAGATTTGATCAATTCATACATTATCATATGCTAATAATATACGTGGACACATTTTGCGCGGGATAATAGTGCTCATAACAGCACTATTTGAATGATGATTAGTACCGCAAACGCCCACTCCATAATTTAACGCAGCACGTAACCGACCAGTTTGTCGTCGTCATTAATCCATATATATTTCTATTTTTGCCTTAGCGCCATCATACTTCAGAAAGCGTTGACAAAGCACAAAATGCCATAACTGCATGTAAAAATAGGTAAAGCGCCAATGTAAATAAAATCAGACCATCTGTATATCGGAAACAGACACATTTTGTGACCAAATCTAACAATTATCGCCATGAATCAGTGCGGTGAACATATGCACGCACCATGACCAGCACACAATATTGTAATAAATATCTATATTGATAAATATTATATCAGAAAACGTATTTTTTGAAAGGCTCTCTAGACTGCGGTGCCACTTCAGCAGCGGTACTGGTAATAGATCAGTTCGGGCCTGACAAAGCGTCCCTCTTGAAAATCCTGATCGTCGAATCGAATCCGTTCGTAGAAGGAAGCCGGTCGAATGCGCTCATTGACCACGGGTCGCTGATTGCGCTTCAACGGCATCGACGGCCGTACGTACGACTGCACGATCATCTGGGATTCGCGTAGCGACGCTGTAATGTCACCCTCCGTGATTTCTTGTACCGGTTTATTCCGGAACTCGGCCACCAGTGCTGTTTTACTACTGGTCTTTACCTTGCCCTTTTCGTTCTCCTCCACGGTACTGAAATAGTACGGTCGCGGACGATACGCCGCGCTAGCATCCGAACCAGTCGGTGCCGCCGCCGCCGCCGCCGGTGAGCCGACATCGGGGATCTTCGGCGCCATATAAGCGCCATTATTTACGCTCTCCCCGAACACATCGTTCATGGAGCAGTAACGCTTCATCCGTTCCTGGAAGCCGTTCGTGCCCAGATCCGCTTTGGTAATCACGGGATGCTCGCGACTAACCACGTCGTCCTCTTCCTCCTCGTGGATATTCCACTCGTCGTCGTCTTCCGCGCCTTCGATACTGTTTTTGGCCACGCTACTCTCAGCCGGCTTAGCAGCTTCCGATTCCGACCCCTCCTCGGCGGCAGTGACCTTGATGCCGGTTTTACCTCGACCGCGGTTAACTGTATCGTAGTCTTTGGGTGGCAACAGAATGGGATTCGTATCGCGGGTTTTTAATCGTTCTTTCAGCTCCATAGCTAGTTTATCGGCGTTTTGCGCCACCTTGTCCAGTGGAATGATGTGATCTTTGTTCTCGGTGGATGAGGTCAGTGATAAGGGCCGCTTGCCCTTCCCGGTCTCGCTGGTTTCCGGACTACTGCTGGTTCGGCCGGAACTCTGGCCGTCGGACAATACAGCCGCTCCGCCGCCGCGACTGTTCGGTGTGCCGTTGCGGTACTCGCCGCCGGGGGTCGACTGCTGCAAACTGATGGGATGGAGCAGGCCGCGGCCACGCAGACGCTCTTCGATGGCGGCGAACCGTGTTTGATTTTCCGGTCGCTCGGCCATGACGGCCAGCTGGTGGGTTAGCAGTGTGGCCGTTTTGGATGAATCACAGCGGTACACGTGGATGTGCACCGGGCAGTGAGTGGCCGGGCTACAAACAACGTAATTAAATGAGCCAAACAAAACACTGGAACATCATGACTACGTGTGAGTGGCGACTTAATACGATATAAAATACAAACATCAAAAATGTCGACATGATTTCAGATGGTTTTTATTCCATTAATTTATCTAGGACGAGCAGGAATCTACCATCAAAAGATTCTCTAACACCACCTTCGAGTTTTGACTTGGTCACCACCTTTCACCCCTTTAGCAATAGGCAGTAGGCACATCAATATGATCAGGCATCAAAATTTTTTACAATTTGCAAAATTAGTAGCAGGTACCAGAAGTACGGATTACTGAGAAGACCCTTGACCATCACTCAACTCAATCTCACCGTGTTAACTATAGCAGACGCTCAGTCAACCATTACCAATTTCATTTGTCTGATTTACTAACACCGTTGCTCATAATTAGCCAAAAATGCTTTTTGTGTGAAAATTAAAGGTTGCCATGAATTACTGGATTAGCAATATCAAACTCACATAAGTTTTTAAAACATTTTCTGGAAATACATGCATATATCCGATAAATCAAAACATAAATTTCCAACCACGTGCACGTGCAAAGCGTCAAAATTATCAGCGTATACGTACACGCAATACCAAAAATGTTCATATGAATTTGAAAAAAGTACTTATAAAATCCGCTCCTGTGCTACCAGTTACCAGCTACCACACGGGAATATGGTCACATATTATCATAGGTGACCTAACCATAAGAGTACAGCCAGATTCCGCTGTGCCTACGCTATGGTGCGCATTCTGAGTCTATTTTACAACAATTAAAATATCAACGTAACAAATTCTGATTGATCCTTGACTGTCATTTACACGCCAGGGGAAATGGTCAAGTACACTGAGTTTTTTTTACTTGAAGATTAGCAGAATGGTGGCCACCAAATCATCGTACGGCGGTTCTCCCTGGTAAGCACATGTGATGCAGTGATGCGGAATGCTGTGTCGCAAAGTATCCGTTTTAACATTGTTGTTGTTCCCCTGCGTCAAGCCGGTTCGGGAGGGCGTTAGTGCTTGTCTACTGACATTCTGAATGATTTTTAGGCCCTTTGCGCTCACCTGAAAAGTAAATTACATGCATCATTGCCACCTTTTAATCGAGCTGTCAACACGACCAACATTTTCTTATTATTTCACAGACGTGAATTTCTGTGGAAAAATAACTGTAAATATTTTTGGGACTAATAATACAATACTGCAAAATCTTGTGTATGCAGATAATCCACATCTACGAACATACACTCGGCAGATTGGTGTTACATATATACAAGTTTAATGGATACGGGAAATTTATACCGATTAATTAATCGTAATGATACATCCATTGTGTGCTCAATCTGCATAGTTGTAAACGGTGTCACAGCGTATTATGTGCTGCATTTCCACTTAAATGTTCCACTCCGCTCGTCTTGAAACAATAAAGTTAATAGTCTTAGTTTGAAAATCTCACTTTCCAAGATAGGTTGTACGTGAACTTTCTCCTTAACAAATGACAATACAATTAACAATTTACAGTACACTTCTGGAAATACAGTAGAGACCGTATGGAAATCCGCTAGCGTAGGGCATAATGCAGCGACATGTTTTGATACGCATAATATGGTGCACAACTTAACACTTTCAAATTTGCATACACGATAAAAGCCTGTTGACAGATTTACAGTAGATTTAGAAGAAACAGTTCTTTCGAGCGGTGATTTGATTGGATATATCATATGCCGTATCACTTTGTAGCAAACTATCCAACAGCAATAACAAACATCGATGCCGTAATATCTGCGCTGCGCACGTGCGTTACAGGTGTCCCATATCAGCATATCTGGGACCCGCAGGCCATTGCCATTTACCAACGTAATTATTAGCATGCATAACCATATGTCTATACGCAAAATATTACTCAATTATTTCTAATAAAGGAATATTACGCTTAATTAGGTTACGGAATATTATATGATCGTAATACCACTCCTTTATGACCTACAGATATGTAGTCGCCTTTTCTGTATTGCATTCTGTGCCGAACAGAATGGCTGTGTTGCGATTGTCCGCAATGGAGAGTATGAGCGTTGGTCTAGTATTGTACATCTTTTGATTTGCTTCGGTGGAGTTCGATCCCAAAAAGCCCAGCCGCAAAATTAGCTTCATACTTTTGCTACTTTATGTTGTCCTTGCAGTTAATTGCTATATATACGTACTGTAGTTAGAACTATGAACTATGAAAACCGCATCACAAAGGTCCAACAGCTACCCTAGGTTAAACTTATGTGGAACATAAAGATGTGATGCCGGCATGGTAGCATCTAATGCAACACCCAGGATCTGCACAATCGGTCTTCTTGTTAGTTCTCTGTTCAGTGCAGGCAGGTCACCGCCGGTGATGACTAAGTAACTTTGAGAAGTACGGATTATCGTAACATAAAATGGATACGGAATCAAAGTCATACGTTTAAGAACAAGGTATTGCATCTATCGTATGCAGCGAAAACATCTCAAAAAATAAATGCTTAAAAAGAAGTGTTCCTGACTCGCCATTATCCAACCGCAGATTTCGTTTACGGTTAACAAGACTTCAGAACATGAGTGCTACATAGTACGTATTACAATGTCAAATTAAAACACTTTAGCCGGCATGGTGCTTTAGTTACCGGTCTGCGTTTTCCAGGATGCCTCACACTGGTAAACTATTCCGACATAAACATGCTTTTATCATAATGAATCTTTTCAGATTGCTGCACTTACTGTATACAATAATTAAATTATACATTTTTCGAGACTGGTTTAATTTATTCGCATGTAGCGTACCTGCAAGGTGATTTTGGGTGCGTTAGCGAGAGGTCCATTTTCCATGAGACTGCGCAGCAGATAGTGCATCGCCGGATAAACGAACTCGTGTCCATTATTATGATCCCGAATGACGGAGCTTTCTTTCGCACCAATAAAACACACATAATAGGATGAGCGCTTAACAGCGGGATTATCCGTCTTGCGTCCGAACGGCATCCTCAGCGATTTCTACACACTGAGCAGGATGATCCTCAAATCACTTTAACTGTAACTATCCAGTGCATTAATTAAATCGGTAAAAAAGTAGCTGATGGCGCATATGCATTGCGCATCTCATTACCCATGTAGAGCACGCGTTCATATACTACAGACGCATGCCATGGCTGTTGTGCACGATTGATCAAAGTCACATCTCTTTTCGAGCCAATTGAGTTTAACAGCAGTCATAAATTGTACAACCAAAAAGGCTAAAAAGCGCCGGGTGTCAACTGCAGCCGAAAAAAATTGCTCGGAAATTGAATAGTGCCCAATACAACGACAGATTGGCTTTTTCGTTTATCTTTCACCGTCGGTTTACTGCGGCCAGGTTAATATCACGCGATTCGGGATGTGTTGATCGGTGTTTGTCTAACTCACAACTAGTCGAGAGAAACAACCCCTGACGAATAAATATCCAATTTAGCCATTTAATAAACTGTGAATGGTCGACCCGAGTAAAAAATGGCGCGCTTTTGTCGCAGTACATATACACAAGAGTGTTATGTATCGGCGAGGGGCGGAGTTGACGTTATTGATCAATAAAGCATCACGCGGCGTTAATTAACGAAGAGTTTACTTAAAAAACCCCGCAGTACGATGATCATATTGCGATGCAAGACAGAGAGAGAAATGGCTGCAGACAGAAAACCCCAGAGAAAGTGTCTTTTTTACCGGCTGCAACCTGCAGGGCAGTACGATTTGTATTGAGCGATTTCTCTGTCTCCTCCTCTCTTCGCTTGTCTGCAATGGAGCGCAACAAGAGGTAAAAGTGTCATAACATATTTACACTCTTAGGTCGATGTATAAGGTATTTGTTCTCAATTTATGATGCTGGCGGAGAGTTTGAGATTATTTGCGCATTGAATAAACGGAGGAAAAGTCTAACGAACTATGTACAATATGCTATACGGAAACAAGCTTAAATATTAATGCCATCATCTCGTTGCAAGAGAGCGAGAGAAAGAGATGTGCGTGCCGGCTGTATATTGTTGTGTTGTGTACATGTTTGTTTCGCTAGTCAACCAACGATAAATCACCATCGTCAGATGAGCACAATTTGTATCGATAATACTGAGCTCTAACCACATGCCAAGAAAATCCGAGTTTTTTTGCCGGTTTTATGAGAAATACAGCAGTTCGATGGTGTATTGTTCTAGTTTCGTTTTGCCGAGGATCATGATTACGGTGGGTGATTAATGGTCGCGATTAGTACGGCGCAGTGGAGTCACTTACTGACAGTTGTGATCGGAAGTGTTAGCAGTGTCACACCATCTTGACCTGTGTGATGCACGCTGCTCGTACACTCCAAAGCTTTAGAATCCGCTTAAAGGGCAATTATAACCATGATGATTGGACTGAGTTGCTCGTGCTATGTTTTTTAAGAAGCAACTAAGGCTGTAAAAATATGCATATTGTCGCAAGCGTCATTGGCAGTTCGGCAAATCTTGCGCGAGAATTTTACAACAAGCACAATACTGGCTTCGCGGACACATAAAACCTCAGATTTGAGGCTTTTGAGCCTTCACTACAGCTCCCATTGAAATAGCGGGAAGAGAATATATATCTGAACCGCAGTGCATATCACAAAATCAAAACTGCCATGCCGGTGACTGCGGTGAGGCTACGACGTTGTCGTCCTTTGTTTAATTTTTTAGTTGCGAACAAAATGTAGGGAGGTAAACATTACCGAAAATAACGGCATAAAATAATATAATTACTTACCGTGTTTTAATGAATTCGCCCAAGCTCCGTACATATACCACATGCGCGGTTATGATATCCCACGGCAAATGCTGCACAATTAACACATGTAAAAATAATACAGATACATAACGAGGCGGATCGTTTCTGTAATCTCACAAGTCAATGACGCCTAACGAAAAGACTGAAATAAAAATTTGTGGGTCGCAGAATACACAGAATGTGCGCTTGCACTGCGACTCTCCTAGAGTAGGTAATTACAATTCGGGGTTATGACGTTAGGTTTTAATCATATCTGTAGATAACTGAAGGAATCAAGGAAGGGTTCAACGGAAATCTATAGTTAACTTAATCCTGTCGATTTACTATCACCTATGGTATGCAAATGAGCGGTGCAAAAAGATCTACACTGTTGAGTCAAGGACACTTTAAAATAAAAATAGCTGTTACAAAGGCGTGTGGAAACATGAATCCATTATGAGTTGCCGGGCATCACCCAATTTTTCGACTCGGCGCCGGCATACACGTTTTCGAGTAAGTGATTAAACCAAACCATTTCGTGCGTGCTGTCATCGCCTGACAATATTCAAAATGAGTCTAATACAAGTGGACATAAAGAAAATGAATTATTTGAAAACATTCACACACCTGGCTAAGCAACAACAATGTGATGATTGCCGATTCGCCAGTGTGACTGTTCTTCCCATGGTACAGTATGTACAATTTTACCTGTACGGGCCATAATACGGCAATGGGTGTGGTTGCAGTGGATCAGCTGGTCAAACGACTTGACATTTTGCGACTCATAGGCAGATGCACAATACTAAAAAGTAAAAAAACGTAAGGAGGAATGTTATAATAAATAAATCGGTACCAATATCCGGATCCTGATTTTTTACATGACGGCTAATAATGAAACAGTATTATTTTGTCATATATGTAATACACGGCACTGGCTGAAACCATTACAGCTATTATTACTACTTACTGTATTTTTGTTGCAACCTGCACGGAGCGGTGTCTTTTTAATTCATTGTAAGCACATTGGTTGTGCATTCAGCATTTAACGTAAATTCTGCAACAGACGGTACGCGATACATGCGCAATACCAGTGACCTTTAAACAATTCATACCTAATCTAATAGTTTAGACGTTTGTCGGTTGTTAAATCTAAGGCGAATTTAGCAAGATGTGAAATACATTAGTGTAATTATTGCATAAATTGTAATTATTGTAATTTTGAAATGTTGGGTTGATGATCTTGTATCAGTGAGTCATTCAATAAATTATTTTTACTGCATTATTGATATGTAGCTGGGGAGTACCGGTAATGATTTTGATTCTTGTTGTGTCAATGTACACGTTCGGAACAATAGCGCGATATTTCTAGAAAACATAGTTAATGCGTGTACCAGGCAAGTTTTTGAAAACTCAGTACTCGGCTCGTATCGGATGCGTTTGAAGACTCTATAGGGATCCTAAACTTTATAAACCAATCGCCTCTTAGGGAATTCTACAATTCCTGGGACTCTCCGCGGACTATTTCCGGCACTGGCAGCAATTCCCAACGCAAGTTCGTCACAACTCACAAGTACAATACTACTCGTGGTCTCGTACTAGCTTTTGTCGTGAGCGACCCTGCAGCATTTGCTGCCATGATCAGCTGAGAGCGGTTTAATAGCCGGTTGGTTTAAAGATTTGCAGAAATCCGAAATTACGAATCATCATACATTCTAGTTCTGTTGTAGCCTATGTATGCACTGTAGCTGGCTGGCTCACTCACTTAGAGATTGATCATTATTTTACACTTTAAAACCAGGTTTAGATTAAACTTTCGATATACAATAACGTTTTTGAATTGAGATTCTATCGCTCGCAATACAGGCGCACTTTTTATCAAAGAGAAATCGTTTGCAGTGAATCGAAATAACTACAGTAAGTACTTAACTGCACGCCGTACGCGTACCCATCGCGAAGTGCCTGGCAGATTTGGTGTTACGGTAGCAGTAAGAAAGATGATCGTTATCCTAGTCACAATGCAGTCCTTGCGAAATTTGCTTGCGTACACCTGAATCAGTTGTGACTTGTCTTCGAATCCGTTATAGTGGTATCTTTTGTGAATCCGTGCGTTTCCCTGACGTTAGGATTTCCCATTTTCTGTCACTATAATGAACGGGATGGAGCCAATACTTCTGCAGCTGCGTTACGGGATTCCCTTGAATCCGCTTCCAGAACGGCGGGCTCGCGATCAGTTTCTTCCAGTACTGACTTACCTTTGAAATATCGTTGCATGTTTTGGGTATACAATTTAATGATAATTTTGTTGTCTTGTTTAGCATGCACCTGTTCGGGTTCACAATCTTTCAGGAAAAGAACGCACGGTAAATACGTACTCGGAAAATGTTTGGGAACTACCGTCTTACGCGTTAGTTCTGCAATTTATCGTATAAATATTTTGCTGCTTCTTTAGTTTGATCATTGCTGTATGATGTTTCACGGATTGACTGAAATTGCTTTTATGTTCATAATTCTTAGGGCACTCGTTTCTGTATTAATTTAGCGGGGAGCGGGGCTTCCAACCTTTGTAGAAGTAGAGATAATAATGGAGAAATTATGTTTTGTTGTCGCTGCTTTACCTCAGATCCAGTTAGGTACATGTATTACTCTGCACTGCGTACGTTTAAACTATTTCTAGTTATACGTTTTTGTTTTTTGCACTTTTTCTTTTTGCAGCTGCTTTTTTGGCTTCTTTTCAGTTGGCTGTAAAAAATGCCTTGCGATATTTTCCACCGCATCTGCATAATACGCTAGTAGAGGAATTCGCGGAAGAACTGGACACTTACGGGCACATCTACATGTACCGATTTGTCCCCAAAATGCGCATGATGTACGGAATTGCATGCATCCGGAATTTTGGACATCTGATGTCTTTATTTTTAATTCTGTTTTAATTTCTTAGGGCTTTCCATATCCGTGATTATCCAGCTCGTTGTGAACAAGCCGCAGCGATAATGCTGATGATTTGCAACAATCTGGATCCGGCGGTTGCGCAGTTTCCCGAAGAACTGGTATGTAACTGGTTTGCAGTTTCAGAATTTTTCCTCACATGACGCTAGCTAAAGTGAAATAAAAGATTTTATCGAAAACTCTTTTCGTATAAATTGCCAGCCGTGAGCAATAAGTTCGATATGAGTATGTAATTTTTTTTTTGTGAGACTTTAGGCACCCCTTTCACCCCCGTTTGCTATAGGCACCCCCTTTTGCACTCTGTTTTACTATAGGCACACCTTTTCCATTAGATAATTCTCGCACCCCGTTTTTTTCCCGCGGACTAGAGGCACCCATTTTATTTTTTCCCAGATGATTAACAAAAAGTTTTTGAGTTTTTTTTTGGTTCACAAAGATTTTTGATGATCTGACATTCTGACATGATTAGGGGAGTTGGATGGGAGTTTTTGTGAATATCATGTTCTCTGGCATGTGCCCTTCCACGATTTCACACTGCCAAGTGCAGACCATTGGCCCGCATTGATTCGTGGTCGTTGTGAGATCGTGGGTTATCTTTGGATGGGATACTTGTTTACAGAACTGTCAGCCATTATTACAGAGCCCTATCTACTGCTGAACTCACATAAGTACTGTATACTACCTCGTACTATAGAAAAAATTCTGACTTTCTGCAAATTTTCTAAGGTCAAGAAAATTCGACCTTAAGACATAGCAACGGATAATAAGGGGGTGCCTATAGCTTTCGTACGCGACGGGGTGCAGCGATTAATTAATCGAAAAGGGGTGCCTATAGTCTAAGTGGGGGCGAAAGGGGGTGCCTGTAGATAACATGGGTGAAAGGGGGGTGCCTATAGCCATTTCCAATATATTTTTTACTTGTATAAGTATGTATGTAAGTAATCATGCAGTTGGATGTCGTTTGAAATTTTGATTTCTTAGGGTTGTACAGAATAATCTGGTGAATTTGGTGCCACATCGGCATTCTAGAAGAACAGATGGGTACTCGGACAGTATTTCAGAATTCCTTTACTTGTTGCTTAATACAAGTAAATTGTAGATCACCTACGGAGGAAACGGGCAAGTGTTTTCGAACTGGGCACAATTCTGGCTGACCATGCAGTATCTTAGTGAAATGGACGAGACGCAGACGTTAGCCATTTATTCCGGACATCCCATGGGACTTTTCCCATCGCATCCCGATGCTCCACGAGCAGTGATTACGAATGGAATGGTCAGTTTCGCATTCTGGAGAATTGCGCATGATAAAACAAAGGCGGCAACCGCATTTTTCGATTATTTTAAATCTGGTGTTCATATTTGCTGATTAGTATCTCTGTAGGTTATTCCAAACTATTCATCACGCCCGGATTACGATCGCATGTTCGCTTTAGGGGTTACCATGTACGGTCAGATGACGGCCGGAAGTTACTGCTACATTGGTCCGCAAGGTATCGTCCATGGAACCACGGTGAATATGAGGGCGTAGTTTTTGCATTTGACCACAATGAGTGTATAAAATTATCTGTGTTGTTAGTATTTAGTAGTGTGTTTTTTTTCGTTCATTAGTTGACATTAATGAATGCCGGTCGGAAATACCTGAATGTTGATGATTTACGCGGAAAAGTGTTCTTAACATCCGGTTTGGGTGGAATGTCGGGAGCACAGGCGAAAGCCGCGGTGATTGCAGGTTGTGTGGGAATCATTGCCGAGGTGAGTGATTTACACTCAATCTTCGTACCTCATTCGGAATATACTATGAGCATGAAGTTCTTCATTCGCTGTAGGTTAGCCGAGAAGCCTTGGCTAAACGCCACGGTCAAGGTTGGCTTATGGAGATTACGGAAAGCGTTGATGAATGTATTGAAAGAACCCGGTACTCTCTTATTTGATTCTGGGAAGACTTGTTCCGGTAATAATTTAACGAAAGATCTTCTGTAATTTTAGATGTGCCGTTCGTGAAGGCCGCTCTGTAAGCATTGGCTATTATGGAAATGTTGTCACTTTATGGTATTCATTCGAATGGAAAATATTTATTCAGACTGGGATGGTGGTTTTTCAGTTTAAATACTTTTCAGGGAGAAATTAGTTGAACTACACGAAAAAACCGGAGAAGTCGTCGTGGATCTCGGCTCCGACCAGACATCGTGCCATAATCCGTTCAATGGAGGATACTTCCCAGTGCAGGTGAAATTTCACTTCTAGTTGATTGAAGCTGGTAGCATGCGGTTGACGCAAGGTATTCCTGTGTAGTTAAGTTATGAGGAGTCCTTTGTAATGATTCAAGAAAATCCGGAGCGTTTCAAAGAGCTGGTACAAGATAGCTTACGCCGACAAGTGAATGCCATTAACTATCTCTCCCATCATGGCATGCATTTCTGGGATTATGGCAACGCCTTCCTGCTTGAAGCCGGTCGTGCTGGAGCGGATGTTTACCGAAACAACTCGAAATCGGAGTTTGTTTATCCTTCTTATGTCCAAGACATCATGGGGTAACCTGACAGTTATTTGCAGTAATTAAGAATTTTTGTGCCAACTGAAAGAACGGAATGAATGCAGGGACATTTTTTCTTTGGGATTTGGTCCATTTCGATGGGTGTGTACATCCTGTAATGCGCAGGATTTAGCGGTGACTGATGCCATTGCATCAGAAGCGTTGACGGCCCTTATGGAAGAGAATGGTAAAATTTATCTGAATAACTCTGAAGAAAATTGCATGAAACATTTGTTCCATGGTCGTTATTTCTTTTGTGAGTCGCGTGAATAATGCCGTATTTTTATTAATTGGTAGTATCGTCTGCTACTGCTGCTCAGTACAAAGATAATTTGAAGTGGATTCGCGGTGCGCAGAGTTATCGCCTGGTAGTTGGTTCGCAAGCGCGAATATTGTACGCTGACGCCGAGGGACGAATGACGATTGCCGTGGCCATTAATCGTGCCATAGCCCGCAAAGCCATTAAAGCGCCAGTGGTCATCAGCCGTGACCATCACGATGTGTCCGGTACCGACAGTCCTTTCCGAGAGACATCTAATATCTATGACGGATCAGCCTTTACCGCCGACATGGCAGTGCAGAACTGTATTGGAGATTCTTTTCGGGGGGCGACATGGGTCGCATTGCATAATGGAGGTATGTTTTAGAAATGGAACTGTATTCTGAACAAGTGAAAGACCGGCATCTGTGGATTCATAGGCGGCGTTGGGTGGGGTGAAGTGATAAACGGTGGGTTTGGGCTTGTTTTGGACGGTTCTGAAGCAGCGGAGAGACGAGCCCGGACAATGCTTCATTGGGACGTTAATAATGGAGTAAGTTGCCTATCTGATGGACTTAAATTGGGCACCAGTGTAACAGTTGATGGCGGATTTTGCAGATTACACGTCGTTCATGGGCTGGTAATGCGAATGCACAGGACACTATAAAACGAGCTATGCGACAAGATCCGAAACTACGAGTGACGATTCCGGCACCCGTTAGTGACGATATTTTGAAGAAGTTGGAATCTTGAAAGAGTTGGGTTTTATAAGTCGGCGAACGTCCCGCCTTGAACAGCACAGAGTATTCTGATTCTATCGGTTTTGTTTTTTAACACGGCGCCCTTTCTTGCAGTGGATAATCTGACCGGTAAAAATACAGCCGTTTTAGTTCACACAGAATAGTTCCTCTTCTCAACGTGATAGGACTTGAATGCTTCTATGGCACTACCTGACACCTGTGGTGTTAATAGAAGTAGCTCGCTCTCCTTGATGCGCTACGGCTCGAGCAAACCAAGAAATTTAATGAGTTCTGCAAACATGAAACAGAGCTTTGCGGTAACAGGCAGCACTCAGTCACTACTGATATCAAATAAACCAAACCAACTGACACCGCACGCGACAATTAGGATCAAGTGATTTAACAAACAGAATCCAACAACCTACTTAACTATCCTGCACCACATAGGTCGAGTGAAATCCAATAAGGGACTGAAAACCAGCTTCCACATTCTCCTTTACGCACGTCATGAACTTATTAACCTTACCGTTTAATTTCATGCATACAAGTATCGCAATCAGCAGTGATCTCCGTTGTTATGTATGCAGCTGTATACTTAACAACAGAGGTCAAAAACGGCAAATAGTTGTATGATAGCGCGCGGTGGAATGAAAATGCGTTCCTATTACGATGCTAGTTATTAAGATGCAGGCCAGAATTACCTTCATCAAACTTCTTGGAGAATTCCACCGGACGTGGTTTGGGCATACCCAGACGGGCATCGTTTTTCTGTTTTCTGCTGTGGCGTTGGGCATTGTACATCCTTGATGCGGCGATAAATGAACGTTTGGAAAGCGTTAGGGCTTTCCGGTTTGCCTGCGAGGTTGCTCATCGGCAAGTGCACAGATTACAGACTGGACACAATACGTGTACCGTCGTTGGAGGACACAACCACAAAACAGACCGCGCTGTGCCTAATCATTAATATTATGAGCAATAATACGGTTTATCGGACCATATAAATGATATAATTACGGAACGCTCGTAGGTCTACTGCTTTATCAGTACATCTCGTCCCCGCACAAAAACGCACATGTAATGTAACAAGTAATTTTAGTGCAGTATCAAGTGTAAAAGTGCTGAAAAGCTGTCGTGTCATTCATTCACATTATTTTGGTTTTTAAGTGCATTTGTGCAGTAATGATATGTGTAGGTTATTTCGCACGGCATACAATGCCTGTATTATTGCCTGGATTGGTGCTGAAGCAATAAAATATTTGTATGTTTTACTGCTTAATTATTCCTTCTGAGTGACCTTTGCATACAATAAGCTTTAATTGCAAAACGTTTCCCCTGCTGATTTCCATTTAAACTACACATGTTTTCTGGGAACTACGCTGAGTAATTGTAATTTTCGGTTCTAATTTGTTATGTATGTTTTATTATTATTTAATTTTGGGTACAGCAGTTCTTGATTTTTTGAATCCATAGCTAGCACCACTTTTTGCTGCATGCTGAAACAAAGAACTGCAAAGACTTTACGAAGGCTATGGAAAAAACCGAGTATCCGAAGAAATTCAATAGTACACGGAAGCAAAACTAAAGCGCGAGTTAAAAACGGCAGAAAACCGTAAAAATGCAGATTAAGGTCACCGAACTGGTGTCTTCCTACATATTTATTACGGGTTTTCTTTGGTTTGGAAAAATGTACAGTACTTTATCGATATAGAATTGAATAGAAAGTGGAAAATAAAACAACTTGCGTTTCTGTTCGGTACGGCAACTCCGTGTTGGATAAATTTGAACCGATTGTTTCGGCCAAGTCCCCAATTTAAAATCAGATCACCGCAGAGGCTTATTTCCGTACTTTGATTCCGCAATACTTTGGTATTACTATGTAAATTATACTTGAATACTTCCTCGACTGTGCCCAGTTTCCGTTGTGCATGATTACAAGGTGATGCAGTGCACAGTGATAATATGCAGCCAGAAAACAATTCCGCCATGTTAAGTAAGAATATTTGAGAGATTACTTGTAGTCATCCAAGTCTGACGGATGTCCAGCTATGCGGCAGTGCGAAAATCAGATGCACCTTTTTCAGAAAAAACACATCCGTACTTTGCTATTGCTTTATTCGGCTAGTTGTTTCGAAAATAGTGTTCTGCCAAGTTACAGCTACTGAGTGGTTTTGAACGCAGAATATCGCTTTGACAACTGACAAACAAGAAGCGATGTTAACTCCTGATTTTGAAGCCACTGCACATCGAAAGGCGATCGGGCTTTTCTACTATCCGAACACTGATACCCATACTGTCTTCGAAGATTATAAGTAATTTGCAGACAAAAGTACGGCAGCAGTTCAAGATGAACCAAATTATTTAATGTAGTCCACCGTGACGTGTCATAACCGTCGATGTGCCATAACGGATTTTGCAATCATTAGTACATACTGTACTCATACTGGAGAAAAACCAATTCCGTGCAGCACAACAGAAAAATGCAATTAAAGCCAACTAGGAAAATGCACTTTGGCGTGCATTGGCAGACCGGAGCGCAGCTTAGTCGCTTATAATTAAGTTTTGCAACTGCTTTTCAGTTGTTCTTGAAAAACCTCCGAGTTTTGATTAAAGTATTTTTATAGTGAATCAAAACTTTTGTAATGTCTCTATAACTTCAAAAATGCTTCCTAGTGATCCTAATTTGCCCAAATGTCAAAATTTGATTTTTCAAGGAATTTGCAACTGATGCGTGCTCAAGCAAAATGAACCCTTTCATTTTGTGCAAATTTGAACGCATTTCGACATAAGCATGCGATCAGCAATAATGCTTCCCCTCTTTACAAAAAAAAAATAACTGCCGACCTGACACGTCGCCCTTGTCACCATGAATCAGTAACACTTGTACCCGGGTGGTGACCCAACTGAAAAAAATTCGAAGGAAAGCTCACTTTTAAGTCATTTTTGGCCTCTCCAGAACTCCCTGAGAAGAGATTATACCGAGTTTAGACCTTTTTTGACTATTTTCACTGGCACAATGCGTGCGCTTGTGCTGCATTATTACTACAAATTTGAGATAGCACATGTTACATGACATTTTTACTATATGTTTCAGCACAATGATATTTTACCATATGTTTACTATATGTTTTTGACGTTGGAACTCGATTAACTTATTTTAAAGTGTAAAGGTTGATAGTTAATTACAAGCCGTTATTTTGCGGAAGTAATAACAATCGAAGCCGATTTTTAAAAAAATTATATTCAAACACGAAGATGTGCTTATTGTTAGCTCAAATGGCTAAAGTTTTGTGGAACTTTTTTCGGACAAAACGCGCCCTATCCTGAGAAGAAAAAACTTTTCGACACCGGAAGTTACTTTTATTAAATTTAAGCAAGATGCGCACTTATCACAAAAACTCTTTACAGTTCTTTCTGAAAATGTTTTTTCTTTAGTCTGATCAAAGTTCAAGATTTTCGAAAATACAGAATAGTTCCGATTTGTTTGAATTTAGAAACTATTTTCCGAAAATTGTTCTTGAAGAGGCGAAGAGCATTTTTGAACTTACTGCGCTTTTCTTTGCTCTTACCGATTCTGCGCTTGCAGTGCTCCCACACTGATTGTGTGCACATAAAAGTAAGAAAATGCTTTGTAAAAATGCGCTGTAATGCAACCGTAAGTATAAAAATGCGTTATTTTACGGTTTTGTTGCCAACCCTGTAGTTTATAATTTCCCCTCCTCTTGATAGCTTTTGCCGTACCCGGTACAAAGAAATAGAGGAGCAGGTAAACTGCGTTTTACTGGGTCATCTTTAACGAAAACCAGGTTTTATTGTTGCCGTTTTGTTGCGGAAATGTTCGTTTGCGAAAAGCAGAAACTTTCCTCTCCAACAACACGAATCATCAGGCGCTTTTGCTGTGTACCTTTACCACCGAACCCAGATTTAAATCTTATGTAGTCGGTGAACTGTCAAAGCTGCCACAAGCGTCACTATGGCGTCATCCTGCCAAAACTGTTCCAAAATTTAGTCAGAGATGGGATTTTGGACTTTTGGTGCGTTATTGGTGGAGTATGGAATTATTACAGAGGAATTATACAGAGGGGTTGCACTGGACAATAAAAGAATAAAAGGGACATTGTTGTCGGAGAAGTAATAAGTATTCTGATTATCAAGAGCTAAAGACTGAGTTTTGAATTCCAAAAGAAAATATCTGCTTGCTGTTTAACTGACTAAAACGGTTTGTGAGATCAACCTTAACATAAACAAAGGGCTTCGCCAACGTCATACCACCAAAGTAGAGCCAAACAAGCACCAGCGATGTTTGCCTTAGGTTAAGTATTTTACGGCAAAACTATCTTCAGTGATAGCCCTTTCAAAAGGCAGTTGGCAGGGCTATTAAAGAAATGTTTGCTGCAAACCTCAAATTTTGCGGTGCTCCCTTGAACCTCTGATGTGTCCTTTCTCTGGAAAGGTCACTTCAGTTTTACTTCCTTGTATGACGTTATTTCCGGTTTCCTTATATGGCATATTTTTCTTTACTTCCTTGTATGACGACATTTACTTCCTTGTATGACGTCATTTCTTACTTCCGTAACGGACACAGACAGACAGCACCTTTTTAGTTTTGTCTGAATTAGAGGACCTCCGCTGCGCTCCGGTCGACAAGTAAAATTTTCTAGAAAAGGGAGCAATGTATAACAAAATCAAATAATACCATCAACTGCGTACAAAAAGCAAAACCTTTCTATCACATTCCTCGAATCATAATTACAACCACCCTCAGCATCGTGCAAACACCACTTCCGGCGTTGCGATTCCAACATTGCAGTCACTCCATTGCGATCCGCAAACAATGCACAACAACGCACAGGCGCAACTGACCATGCTTAATACAGCAGGTCTAGCATGTTCAAAAGCCTTGTTCATCCCAGAGAGCAAAGTCCATTGGATCGCCAGCCTCAAACGGCTCGAAATCGCTCTCTGCTCCTGCTTAATCAGGCCACTTAGAACCTAGAGTAGAAAACCAGGAAATCAGGTAATATTAATTTTTCTAATGCACCGAAATTATCGGCCAGCACCTGTTCGGTGGCATTCTCGTCGTATTAAGTGGTTACCTCTTCCTCTTCCTGTTTCACAGGATTTGCGACAACCGCCTCGTCGGCCTGATCATAGTCA